GGGGGGCAGTCTCAACAACAACAACAAGCCCTGCACCAAAATATTGTGATGATTAAAACTCGATGATAAATGTTGGTCCGAGATGCGACGCGCCGCCGGCCATGGTTATGGCGAGCAGGGTTAGAAAGCAGAGCCGAGCTCGAGCAGAGCTGACTTGAGCCGCAGACCGAGCAGTGGCGTAGGAGCGCGAGCAAGAGAGAGAGCGAGAGCGAGAGAGAGCGAGGGAGGGAGAGAGAGAAAAAGAGGGGGGGGGGGGTAATCTGCTTCACTGCAGAGAGTGCATGTCACAGAGGTTGGATGTTGTACAAGTTAACACGTAAGGTCTGGGCCAATTTCGCATTAGTCTGTACAGAGCATGCGAGGCCCGGGCGCGACGCGGTCCTAGTGGGCCAGCGAGCTCGCAGCATGAGGGACCGCCGGCGGCGCTGGCCGTGCTCGTCTGCGTCGCGCCCGCCGCGTGCTCGCCCTCGCCATACTCCGCGCTCCTCCATCGCAATTCGAACGCCGTAAGTACTCGACGGACCACTCAACTATCGTTCACACTAAACGCTTATGCATTTTGTTATGCATAAACTTGCAGAATTTTATACAGCCATAATATAAGTATGCCCAAATTTGTATGCACAATTGTGTACAAAATATGCATAATAATTATGCACACACTGTACATAGTTAAGCATAACATTGTGCATAATATTATGGCTGTATGGAATTCTGCAAGTTTTATGCTCGACAAAGTGTATATGTGTTATGCGAGCGAACTCTGACCTCTCTGGTGTGTACTTGGTCAAGTATGCAGGAAGTAGTGTGTACTTGGTTAAGAACACACTAAAACCTTCATACATTCATGCAGGAGACTTAGTGTGTACTTGACCAAGTACACACTACCTCCTGCATACTTGACCATGTACTTACTATCTCCTGCATACCTGACCAAGTACACAGGACCTCCTGCATACATGTAGGTATGCAGGAGATACTGCATTCAAGTACACACTTGGGCGCTGGGGGCGGGCCGCCGTCTGCGCACGGCTGCGTGGCGGGTCGGCCTACCCTTCGCGTTGCAGGCGCCATATGGTCGGCGGCGGCGTCGCCCCGGGAAACGTTTCCCTTGCGGGCACCTCCGGCAGGGCGATGGCGATGTGTAGCTCGAGCGCGTGTTTCCGCAGGGCACGTGCAACAACATCGTGTTAGAGAGGCAAGTCAGTGCCCCGAAGGCACAGTCACCCCGGGCGTCTTGGTGGCCAACTTGACGGGCATCCTCCAGTATGTACGGTTTATCAAGTCTCCAGTGCACCGGGTGATTCAGAGAAGACGCAGGTGCGGGTGGGTTTACCCACCCAAGGGGCTATGGCGCCTTACGGGCAGAGCGGGTAGACAAACCCGCCCGCACCTGCGTCATCTCTGAATCACCCGGTACAACGGGCAGCTCAGGGCAGCTGATCTTGAGGAGGGATGTCGGCGTCGGCAAGTTCGGGGTGAGGGTTCTGTACTGGGTTTGCCCTTCCTCGAGCCGTCCTCCACGGTATTCAGAAATTTGCTCCAGAGCAGGTTTAAGTTGCCGTCGCCAAGTGGAACAACGTCGCCGGCTGGAGGGAGAACTTCTTCCGTCTGGAGTACTGCAACGCGGTGGCCACCATCGGGAGGGATATCAGTTCCGAGTTTACCCGCAACAACCCCAAGTACCCCAAGAAGTGCCCTTTTCTCAAAGTAAGTTCCTCACGCGGTCCTCATAGTTCTGGCGAAAGCTCATGATTAGAGAGGCGCAAAAAGTCAAGCCGTACCGTATCGTTTCGTTTCTAGATGTATAAAAGAGGCATAAAAGAGGTTGTACATCTCATCTCCGTAAATTGTCGTGTCCGGGTAGCGCTCCATAGCACGACAGATTGCAACATGCACGCAATGCCTCTATAGCTGTATTTAGTGCCATTTTTCGTTCCACACCTCATAGTCGATCTGGCTGGCTCCACAAAGAATGCCACTTTGAAAACCCCAAGCTTTGAACCGTGTGTTGGGTCGAAGAAAGTACAGGAAGACTTGGCTATTCCTATTACGCTTCCGCTCAAACGTCTTTATTAGTTTTCAGGGTGCGTACATTTTCCGTAATCTCAGCACTGCGCTTGTACAACGCTACGAGGACTTTCCAGTCTTCCCCTACGGCCGGTTCAGAGGAGATTCTTTTTTATGAGATGAAATCCAAGCAAAACATAGTCGCATGCGGTCGCATGTGTAAGAGGTGTCAGCGACATTGTTCCAAAAGTGAAAAAAAGTTAATATAATAAAGTGTTCTATCATCAGGCGCAACACGCCAAGTTGACAAAAAAACGTAAACAGAAAAAAATAAAAAAATACTTCACCACCATTTCTAACTCTACTTTATTTTAGTTTAGCACTGGGATGCAAAAAACCAAACCTAAAATCGGACTGTCAGTTCTTACATACTGCTCAGCCCGGATCGGCCTGCAGATCAAGTCAGCAGCTCTGTTTTTTCACCCTGATCGCCATAACCCAGCAGTAGCGTGATGTATAAACTAGTTAACACGTAAGGTCTCGACCAATTTCGTGCAGGACCGCGGTCTCTACAGAGCATCATGCTAGGCCCGGGCGCGCCGGTCCTAGTGCACGCCTAGTTGGCCCGCGAGCTCCCAGCATGAGGAACGTGCCGCTCGCAGTGCTCCTCTGCGTCGTGCGCGCAGTGCTCGCCTTCACCACGCTGCGTTCCAATTCGTACGCCGTAAGTGCAGCTCGACGGATCACTCACCTATATCCTTACCGGGCTTGAACGCCTGTTCAAAGAGGTGACTCAGTGCACCGAAGGCACCGTCAGCCCGGGTGCCTGGGTGGTCAATTTGACGGGCAATATCCTGCATTTACGGTCTGTCAAGTCCCCAGTGTTCAGTGGCCAGATGGTCATAAGGAAAGACGTCGGCTTCGGCGATGTCGGGGTGAGCGCTCTGTTGCTGTTGAAGCACACGCTGTTGCCCTTCCTCCACTTATTCAGAAACTTGCGCCCGAGCAGATCACAATTGCCGTCGCCAAGTGGGACAGCGTCGCCGGCTGGAGGGAGAACTTTTTCCGTATTGACGGCGGTGAGTACTGCAACGTGCTGGCCACCATCGGGCAGGGCGCCATGGCAGAGGTTGCCCGCTACTCCAAGTGGCCCAAGAGCTGCCCCCAACCGAAAGTAAGTACGTCACGATCCTTGTAGCTCTTAAGTTGGCATTTTTTTTTTACCTATCAAAGACTTTACTGTAATTTCGACTGACGGAGGAAGAAGAATAGCGAGTAGAACATAAACGTTGCCGATTGGTCAAGAGCTTTCCGCCTGTCTCTCTTACTGCTTCTCCCTCCAACATGTTTATTGGTTTTCAGGGTACGTACATTTTCCACAATCTCAGCACTGAGATGGTCCAACGCTGGGAACACTTTCCAGTCTTCCCCTACGGCCGATTCAGAGGAGACCTTTTATATTATATGATGAAATCCAAGCAAACAATAGTCGGATGTTTCAGAGGTGTAACCGAGATTGTTCCGAAAATGAAGAGAAGTTGATAGAAAAAGTGTCCTATCAAAAGGCGCAACACGCCAAGTTGACAAAAAAACGTTAACAGAAAAAATAAAAAAAATATTTCACTACCATTTCTAACTTCACTCCATTTTAGTTTAGCAACTTTTGCTGTTACTGCGGGTGCTTCATCCACCTCACAGTGCCTCTCCAGCCCCCTCTCCTACGTTACAGTGGGGTGCCGAAAAACCAAACCTATAATCGGACTGTCAGTTTTCACATACTACTGAGCCCGGCTCGGCCTGCAGATCAAGTCAGCAGCTCTACTTTTTCACCCTGTTCGCCATTACCGGCAGTAGCGTGATGTATAAACTAGTTAACACGTAAGGTCTGGACCAATTTCGTGCAGGACCGCGGTCTCTACAGAGCATCATGCTAGGCCCGGGCGCGCCGGTCCTAGTGCACGCCTAGTTGGCCCGCGAGCTCCCAGCATGAGGAACGTGCCGCTCGCAGTGCTCCTCTGCGTCGTGCGCGCAGTGCTCGCCTTCACCACGCTGCGTTCCAATTCGTACGCCGTAAGTGCAGCTCGACGGATCACTCACCTATATCCTTACCGGGCTTGAACGCCTATTTCCGCAGGGCCCTTACAGGATCTTGTTCAAAGAGGTGACTCAGTGCACCGAAGGCACCGTCAGCCCGGGTGCCTGGGTGCTCAACCTGACGGGCAATATCCTGCATCCACGGTCTGTCAAGTCCCCAGTGTTCAATGGCCAGATGATCATGAGGAAAGACGTCGGCGTCGGCGATGTCGGGGTGAGCTGAGCGCTCTGTTGCTATTGCAGCGCACGCGGTTGGCCTTCCTCCACTTATTCAGAAAACTTGCACCCGAGCAGATCACAATTGCCGTCGCCAAGTGGGACAGCGTCGCCGGCTGGAGGGAGAACTTTTTTCGTATTGACGGCGGCGAGTGGTGCAACGTGGTGGCCACCATCGGGCAGACTGCCTTTGAAGAGGTTTCCCGCCACTCCATGTGGCCCAGAAGCTGCCCCCAGTCGAAAGTAAGTACGTCGCGGTCCTTGTAGTTCTTTAGTTTGCAAATTTTTACCTATCAAAGACTTCTATTGTATCTCGACTAACGGAGGAAGAAGAATAGTGGGTAGAACATAAACGTTGCCGATTGGTCGAGAGCTTACCGCCTCCACGTCAAGCCGGTAGTGGGGGTAAGCGCTAGAACGGCAAACTGCAATGCCCTTATCCCTTATAGCTGTATTTAGTCACAATTTTCGCTTAGCACAGCACCTAGTAGTCTGACCACAAAATAAATTGTAACTTCCCAGGCTAGAATAACTATAAGTAACCATGGTTATCTTGTTCACTAGGAGCCATTATATTATGGTAACTTGAACATGGATTATGGTTTCCGGTTCCTTAACCATAGTTTTCCCAACCTTTAACCACGTTGTTTCATGGTTACCAAACCATGGGAGACCATGGACTACCATGTATTACCATAATTGATATTTTACCATTGTTTATGGTTTACCGCATGGTTATTTTTGCCTGGGTTTGTCAACTTTGTGCTTTGAGCCGGCGTGTGTCGGGCCGAAGCCTAGACTGCGGTATTTCACATTTCCTACCTCCTTTTCTGCTTTATTGGTTTTCAGGGTACGTACTTTTTCCGTAATCTCAGCACTGACATGGTCCAACGCTGGGAACACTTTCCAGTCTTCCCCTACGGCCGATTCAGAGGAGACCTTTTATATTATGTGATGAAATCCAAGCAAACAATAGTCGGATGTTTCAGAGGTGTAACCGAGATTGTTCCGAAAATGAAGAGAAGTTGATGAAATAAAGTGTCCCATCAAAAGGCACATAAGGTCATAAGTTGCCAAAAACCAAATAAAAAATTGAGAAATCTATTTCACCACATTTTCCAACTCTATTCCATTTAAGTTAGCAATTTTTGCTGCTGCTGCTCTGCGAATGCTTTTGGAAGCGATCCCTCCACCTCTCACCCCCCTCTCCAACCCCATTCGCCGACTTCCGACTGTACTGAATTTGATTCGGAAAAACCAAACCGAATCGGACAGTCAGTTGTCACATAAAAGCTGTTGCTTTTGATTACTTCTTTCTTTTCTGTTTTCTTTTGTAACAGCGCAAATACTGTTGAAATTTTCGAAGAGAATTACAATTGGTCGCAGTGTTTCTTTCGTCCGAAACATGCGCGTGAGGGGCAGAAAACAAAATCCCCCCCCCCCCCTCGAGTGCGCACTTCCGCCTTCCTCCTGTTCGCGGACGTCCTTTCCCCGAAGCTGCTAACGGGCCCCTGCCCGCGACGCCCAGTAGTCCCGTCCCGCCACCAGAAGCAAGCCGAGCAACAAAAACAGCGCGTCACCGGCGCCGCGGGCTGCTTGTCCATCTGCGTGTCCGTTTGCTCCTCCGTCTGCTTGTCCGTCTGTTTGTCCGCCCGTCACTGCCGCTGGGTCGGCCGTCCGACTCCTCCTGTTTGTCCGCTCGTCACCGTGTTGTTGGGCACGCGACGGGCCGTCACCCTTTTAGAGTGACTAGTCACCACTAGGGACTTTAAAATCCAAAAATTTTCCGGGAAAACTTAAAAATTTTCAAGTAAAAAAGATTGAAGAGTATTTCCAAAAATAAAAAGAGATACTTCAAGGAAAAGGTTGGAACATTTTGAAATACAAGCCGAGGAAAGTTTCTCAACAACACTCTTCTGGAAAATTTAAATTTCTATTCACCCACCACTAGGCGCCTGAGCTCGGGCAGGGTAGGCAGCCCCGCGCGCCACGGAGGCCCCGCGGGGTTGCCTACCGCCGCTTCCACAGGCGGCCGCCCGCCCGACCGCTGCCCGTTTATCTGTCTGCCCGGCGGCGGAGGCTCTGGCTTAGCTTCCCGATGTGCGAATTCCGTCCGGACGATAAAGCCGTCGACAAGGCTGTGACAAGCTAATGACAACCGCTCCCCCTAAACGGTAAAGTAGATAAGTCTCGGTGACTCACGTTTTGGCGGCGGGGGTGTCGGCGGTGGCGCCGGCTGGACGTCGGCGGACTGACGTCGGCGTCCCCCTCGGTGTCCCAGTCGGCGTGGTCGCCGACGTCCTGGACGGCGGCGGCTGCGGTGGCTGCGCCGGCTGCTCCCGGGGGACGGCGAAGCTGTCCGAGGACACGGAGGAGCCCAGGCTGGACGGGCCTGACGCCGGGGTGTTGTCCACCGGGGCGGCCGGGACCGCCCTGGGCGTCGAGAAGGAGAAGCCGCGTACGCTGGAGTCCCGTCGGCAGCCCGGCGAACTGCAGCCAAGCGGGGTGCCCGAGGACGACCTCGGCGTCGTCGGGGCAGCGGGGATGCTGAGCTTGAGGCCGGCCAGCGGGCCGCCGCGCCACGCCGAGGACGGCCCGGGCGACTTGCTCCGGGCCACGGACATCTTCCGGGGCGGCGCGGGCGAGTTGGGTGCGCTCTGCGAGCAGCGCGCCCCGGCCCGCGCCGCGTGCCTGCCCGGGACGGGGGACTCCGCGTCCGGGAGGGGACCGCCCGCGTCCTGCCTCGAGGCCTGCACCAGGTCCGGGAGGGGCTCAGTGCGACCCGGAACTGCCCCCGCCCGTTCCTGATCCTTGTCGACGGCAGCGCCGGGTTCCGTCACGCCCTCTCGCGGCTGCTGCACGCTCCTCCCCGGCGCCCTCTTCGCCGTCCTCTTCTCCACGCATCCCTCCGCGGGCGTCACCCTTCTGCACGCCCTCGGCCCGCTGGCCTTGTCCGCCTCGTGCTCGCCGGCGTCGGCGGCGAGCTGAGCGTCTGCTGAGCTCCCGGACGTCGACGGCGGCCCCGCCAGGCCCGCGGCGCTCGTGCGGCCGTCCAGCTGGGCCGACGGCGCCGAGCTGGGCGTCGAGGAGGGTGGCTGCCGCTGCGGCTGCTGGGCGTGTGGCCGCGGGGACGGCTTCTTCACCTCGGCGGCGCGGCTCGACCGCGAGGGCCGCGGCGTCCGCGCCAGCCGCGGTGACCCGGGATTGGAAGCGGCAAGTTTGGATGTCCTTCCACTCTGGATCCTTGAAAAAAACACAAGAAAAACCAACACGTCGAGCTTACAAATCGTAAAAGTCGTAAAATGTGCTGCTGCGCGTCTGCTACGAAGGTAGCAGTGAAAGGTGCGAAGGCAGGTGGGTCGCCTCCTCCTGCATCTCTGCGTTCCCACGGTCACTCGCCTGCGGCTTCGAATGTCACACAAGTGACTTACCAAACACTGCTGAATTTCGTGTTTCCAGCAACAGCAAAAAAATGTAGCGGATCGATGCTCAACTTTCTCTGCCTTTCCCAGTCCGTACCTCGTCTCAGCCGCGTCCGCCGCCTCAGCAGACGGCTGTCCATCCGTCCGTTGTTGATCTCCTGGCGGGCACGGGGACGGAGCGGGGGCGGCGGGGGCGGCGGGGGCGGCAGGGGCAGCGGCGAGGGTCTGCCTGTCGCTCTCGCCCCTGGTGCGGCCCTTGCCGGGGCCGGTGGCGTTGGGGGCGGCCCCCCGCCCCCGGTTGCCGGCCGCGGACGGTGAGGGTCGCGTGTCCCTAAAGATGGCGATGCTGCCCGCGGACTGCAAGCGGGGCACGCGAGTGGGCGTGTGGACGGGGGCCTGCTCTGGGGGCGGCAGCGCGGGGGGCGGCAGAGCCGGGGGCGGCGGCAGCGCCGGGGGCTGGTCGATGGCGCGCAGCAGGGGCGAGGGCGCGCCGAAGGACGTGGTGAAGTGAAAGCTGATGTGGCTGCTCGTCGAGATCGACATGCTGCTGTGGCTCACGTGGTGCACATCGCC